GCCGCAAATAATTTACAGCGACGGGACAGTGCCCGTGTCTGCGCACACACGAACCTGTACATGCTTTCACAAAGGGATACTCTATGACGTATTCAAGGCTTTGCAAAAAATAAAACTCTGCAAAGATCTAAAATCTAACCGGCATAAACACCTTCAAGAAGAATTAAGAAGCCCCTCTCCGACTGCAATGCCTGTAACTCCAGCTCACCTATGTCAAGGTGCCACAACCCTATAGAGCTTAACGATGCAGGTGCAAGGAACATTTGAGATAATTTGGCCTGTTATGGAGAGACTGCACAGTTTTCTGGCGATAACTGACGTTATAAGTATAAAAGGGAGCGCTCGGTGTCTTCTGCGTTACTAACACTAGATGGCACATGTTCTACTTTTTTAGGAACAATGCTTTCTGGTTTATAAAGGTTACCTTGGTCAACTGACCAAATTTCTGGCGCAGAGTCTTCACCCATACAGGCTTCCGAGAATGTTTCTATTTTGGACCAATTATGGTCTTTTTTGGTTGTAAGATCTATTAAGAAACTTCTCCAGTGAGCATTCCGGTCATGAATCTAGGGGAAAAAAAAAAAAGGGAGGAAAAACAGTTAAATCTGATTTTTTTCTAACAACAACTTAACTAAGATTTAATCCACTGCAAAATCAAATAGTATCAGGGTTGAGTCTGTGATACTGTGCTCAAATGCAAAAAGCTGAACTCTGAAACACAAGAGCTGTATTGCCAAGTCCGCACTGATTTTCTGGCTCTGCTGTCAGGGAACACTTCCGCAAGAAGCTAGAGTTTTAACACACAGGCAAACATTAACTTAAAAACTTGTAATTGGAAAAAAAAAACAACCTTATGTTCTCTGTCTTAGCAGTCACTTCAAGGACCCGAAGGTCTCTGCAAACAGCTAAGCTCAGTGATCAATCTTTTGGCATAACGCAATGCTGGAAACACGCAAAATCATATTCATCTACAACACAAAGATGTTATAAACCATCACGTTACGGCCTCTGTGTAAGAGGCTTAAGAGACTGCAGAGATTGTAGTAATATAAAATGCAGTACCATTTCTTCTTTTAAGAAAAGGATTCAATCAGTAACAAGCATTTTAAATAACCACTAAGATTAGATTTTCCTTTTGAAGACACTACAATGAGTTGGGAGATGACTGGTTTGACAGCCAGTAGTGGGAGCTGCGGTGCTGTTGGATGGAGGAAAGTTCTGCACGCTTCAGAAATATATTTGTAAAAGCTGCGTGTAGAAGGTAGATCAGTCCCCCAACCCTAATATTCATTCTTCCGAAAATTTTTAAAAATAAAGATCAGAACTTAAGCACCAATGCGAACCCTCTAAGCCAAGAAACTTCTCTCAGTAGTTAAATGTCACCACTACAGTCTGCCTGCCACAAAGACGCCCAAGGGGCAGCGTACCGACACGTGTCTGCGCAAGGTGGACATGTCTGTGAAGGTTCTCTCGCAAGCTCTGCACTTGTACGGCTTTTCCCCGGTGTGAATGCGCTGGTGGCGCCGCAGAGCGCCCTGTTGGGTGAACGTTTTCCCGCACTGCTCGCAGAAATACGGACGGGTCTCTAAGAACACACAAAAAGAAAAAAACAAAACAGGAAGCATAGAGTTAGAAGGCAGGTTCTTTCAGCCTTGATTTCAGCAGACAAAAATTTAGAAAAAGAATTTTGAAAAGATCAATATTGATGAAGGAGCAATACGTAGGTGATTTGGGGCCCTGGTTTATATGACAAGTTTCTTGACTGCAAGGGAAAGGCTGAGAACAGCTCCCTGATCTTGCAAGGGGAACAGAAGCAACTACAGCCACTCTCTGCTCCAGCATCCTTCAGCAGCACAAAACAGGCCTCAGTCTTCCGGAGAAGCATCATCTGATACGATACAAGATGATATTGTGCCCTGCTTAACAAGCCACGATCTGTATGAGCCCTGCTTCTCCTCATCACCAAATTCAAGGACTTGGGTCTGGAATAAAACGTCACCACCAAACTGGAAAGTACTTCAGAACCAAGCTTCCAGTGCCATTTATCTTCCCAGCCCCGGTGAGTTTGTTTCGTTACCTGCATGGACGTTGCTGTGCTGGGCTAGCGATGCTCTCAGTCCGAACGTCTTCCCGCAAACCTCACACTTGTAGGGCTTAGCACCCATGTGGCATCGTTTATGGCATTTTAAATATTCATTGGTGGCAAAATGTTTTCCACACACATCGCATTTAAAAAGGCGCTCTCCTGAGCAAAGAGAAGACGACATTGTGAATTCTTGCAGCAGAATTTTCTGCTTCACAGTTGGTTTTCAAATGTCTTTATCCCTCTTTTTAAAGAAGGAACTTTAATGTTCCTTCCTGGTACTTGAAGTCTCTTCTATAAGAGTTACAAATACAACTGTACATCTCTTTCAAAACCCAACTAGCCCTTATCTAGCAGTATAAAGGGAGGAACCAAACGGAAGGAACCGAAGTATTTAATGCCTACCTGTGTGGGTCCTTTTGTGGCCAGTGAGTTTGCCTTTATCAGCAAAGCAAGCCCCACAGTCCTCACAAATATATGGCTTTTCCCCTGTATGGGACCTAAACGGAGCAAAACACAAAAGACTATTAATAAATTAGCTCTTGTAGTGCGTTCTTAAAATAATGTATTTGAAATTACATTCAACACAATACAGGCAGCATACTTTATTTTTTAAATGAAGTGGAAAAAATACATTCTGCTCAGTCAGGAAATAAGAGTGTTTGCCAGTATAGGTGCTACACTAAAGCTCCAAAATTCCCATTTAAGGTTTACCTTTTCCTCACTCTCTGGCCCTACAAAGTCCACCTTCCTTTCACAAGTTATAGCTCGTAGTATAAGCATCGGAAGGGAGAAAGCAGGGAAGGTGACGAGCTGCTGCTGGGCTAGAGACTGAAAGTGCATCCAGATTGTCACCAGCAGCAGAACTCTTGGGACATTGTGGGCCACATTCTTGGCTTCTGCACTCCCTCAGCCTCATGTTCTCTGGCCTGCAAACTTTAACTGGCAGGATATTCCCATTTTTAAGACAAAAGGCACTAAGGAAAGTCAGGCAAGCAGTATTTCTGAACGCATGCTGGACATCTGATTTTAAACTAGTTCAAATCAGAGAAAGTCTGAGCCTAATGTTTGGTCTTAACATTGCGCTGACTTCCCTTACTCCAACCTAAATAGTATGATGTGCAAAAAAACATGCATAGTTGTGAGTTGTTGGGCAAAATGCTGCAAGTGGGAGACAGCCAGTTACCCAACACAAACCCCATGAGTCACTGTTTTGTTGCAGTCATACCGCATCTTACACGTAGCGCAGTTCTGCTGTGTTTCAGCTGATGCAGATTATCTAGACATTTCAGATGTTTTGCTGGTCCTGAATCAGTATACCTCACAGTTTTTTATATCACTGCAAGAACACCCAGCAGACAGAAGAGAGCCACTGTCCCCATTGTATGGGTCCGCAGTCTCTAGCAATGGGATTTCTCTCACCTCGTTTAGCCCTCCAACAGTTAACCTCGTATTAACCTCCTAAGCATCTGCTATGCTCCCTGTTTGGAGAAAGATGGGAAATTCCATGGGATGATTCACCCTCTCCTGGGAGGGGACACATTTAATGTAGACACCACCAGAGAGCAATTCATCCAGTCTAGCTCCAATGACTCCAGAGGGAGCCCAGATGAGAAGTCCAGCTTTTGTATTGCATACAAGAAACTAAATCCCACACTGAACGACTTGCTCAGAGTGATAAAGAGTGAGCAGGGATCAGCATCTGTATCTCTGAGGCGCTTGACTAAGTCTTCAGCCTATGCTACTTTTCATCAGTGAAGGCCACCACCTTATTCTGAAGACTGTCTCAAATGACTGGCTTTTGCTTACAAATACGGATAGAGCACCCGTTTCAAAAGCCGTACTAAAACTGATGCAATGGCCAGCTGCAAACAAAGCCTTTAGGTACAAGAATTAATCACAGACACTACAGAAGGAATTATATCCCAGCGTTCCTCTTACAAAGACATACAAGGAGAACGACTCAGAACTGGGAAGTCAGAAGAGGAAAAAGAAGTGCTGAAGTATGCTGTGCATGCAGGGAGTGGTAAATGGGAAAAGCAGTAGCGTAGGCTGACCTGGTGTGAATCTTAAGTTGTGATGGCTGAGCAAATTTTGAATGGCAAATGCCACATTCATAAGGTTTTTCTCCTGTGTGTGTCCGCATATGAAACACTAGCGCTGTTCGGGAGCTGAGGATCTTCCCGCAGACAGAGCAGAGAGGGCGTTTGACTCTGCCTTCGTGCTTCCGCATATAATGTGTCCTCACATCTCTCTTTCTTTTAAAAGCAGCATTGCAAAGGGTGCAGGCAAACTGCCTTTCTTCAGTGTGGACACATGCTCGATGCTCCTTCCAGCTGTTGTAACTAGCAAATGACTTGCTGCAGATGTCACACTGATAGACTTTACCAGGCAAGCACTGATGGACATCTCTGCAGTGATCCACATACTTCTTCCGGGAAACAAACTGCTCGTTACACTTATCGCATGTTATTACATAGGCAGATTTCTTATTCATCCCACTTTTATTTACCTTCTTCATTTTAAACTCTTCACCTGCCTTCTCATTAGAGTATTCATCATCCTCATAGTCCTCCTCAGTACAGACCTCCTCGTTATCTCTACTATCTTCAACTTCTGAATACTCCACTTCATAATCTACCTCCTCCTCTCCCTTCACACTCATTTCACCTTCATTCCCTTCTTCACTCATTTTTTCACTTCTTGCTTCACCTTCCTTGTATTTCCGCTTCCGTTCTTCTTGCTCATTGCTACAGTCTGCTTCAGTAACAGATGAACCCTCAGGTTCTTCCTCACAACTTGTGGCCTCTTCATGCCTTGTACGCTTCCATCGTTCAGCCTCTGCTGTCCCATCCCACATCTCTCTGTCAGTATCTTTGTCACAGCTTGTTGCATTTGGTCTATGCACAGGCGGAACTACCATCCAATAGACAGGCCTAAGTTTCCTCCCTTGCCCAGACTCATGGATTTTTCTGTTAAAACAAACAAACAACAGAGCACAATTTCAGTAGGTTTAATTGTTTCAAATTCAGACATGTTTGCCTCAGAGGAAGTGTTGTTTCCTTCTAATTGTTCTTCACACCATTTAAGAAATTAACAGCATGTTTGGAGAGCCGGGAACAGGGAAATTTTGTGTAGAGTTGGACCAGTTAAAGAAAATTAAAAAATCTCAGTTCATCAAGGATGGTCCCTCTCACGTATAAATATTTGCCACTTGACTGGTAACACAGGATGGGCTGTAAATTTTCCTCCAAGGCCATGATGGACAGGATAAGAAATTAGGGACTTGAAACAAGGGAAATACAGATTAAATGCCTATATGGAAACACAAAGCCAGACCTCCTTGTAAGCCATCAATTGCAGTGGTTAACTCTACTTATCACTACTCAGTGCGTGGAACAAGCTACATCGTTACACTCACAACATCTGGAATGCTTTTTCTGCTACTGGACTGAACTACAAACATATTTTGACATTTTGTAAAAGGGAAGCTGAGATCCAGTAGAAAACCACCTACCTCCTGTACCACGCAGGCAGGGGTACGGCAACGTTTGACCTGTACAGTGGCTTTTGCAGTTCTAGAAACTACTGTGCAACTTCAACATCTTTTTTTTGGTTGGGCAGGGGTTAATAAGCCTATCTGGAAGCTCATGCTATCCAGCAAAACAGCACACAGGACATTTGGCCCACGAAAACCATACTAAAAAGCACCACACTGCCCTGATGCAATGAAATGGGCATTTTCTTGTGCCTTTTAAACAGATGCCAATTCTTTTCAGGCTCCTGTTTACAAACCCAAATCTGAGGCTTTCAAAATCATGCAAGAGATCTGGTTGCATAAGTCCCCTTTGACTCAGAGGGGAACGTTCGCCTAAACTCCCAGTCTGCGAGACCTCAATCCAGTAATCTGGACTAAAAGCTTGATGAGGTCAATGGAAAAAATCTGTGCCGATTTCACCACACTTCTGATCAGATCCAAGGAATTCTGGAACTAAAGCAGCAAGGACTTTAAGAACACTTTCATCCTGGCACCCAGAGAGAAAACACATTTTCCTGCACGCACACGGACACAGACGCACAGAGAATGCTGTACCTTACATGGGTATTGTAAGCAGACCTCTGAGCAAAGCTGGCGGAGCAGCGGTCGCATTTATAAGGTTTCTCCCCCGTGTGTGTTCGTATGTGGACTGTCAGACCACACTTGGAACTGATGACTTTGTCGCAGTACGGGCAGGCCTGGGGATCCCGCTTCTTCTCATGCACCCTGCGGATATGGTCGTTAATGTCCTTCCGGCACTTAAATCTCTTGTTGCAAAACACGCAGAAGAAGCCCCGCTCATCACTGTGAACGGTGAGGCGGTGCTGCCGGAGGTTCTGGTGAGTGGAGAAGAGCTGCTCACACGCGTGGCAGCTGTACTTGACAGCCAAATTAACGTCATGCTTGAGCTCCATGTGCAACCGGTACTGCTTGAGAACACGGAACGATTCGTTGCACTTCTCGCATGCAAGCTGCGGCAAGACTTTTGCGACATGCCGTGGTGATTTCCTACGTTCAGTTTTACTGGCAAATTTTGAAATTAAACTGCTTTCATCTTCCCACTGCTCAGGCAGTGCGTTCCCAATTACTACAGAGGCTTCCTTTGACTCAGTCTGACTTAGGAGAGAATGACTATTCTCATTTTCCAGCCTAACAATATCCATACTGAGTCTTTTTCTGGTATCTGTCTTGTTACACTTCAGTAGCTTCGCTGTCCTGGATTTTGGTTCTGGAAAAGCAGTGTCCTCTTGCTCCAGACTTGCTGGCTGGCCTTCAATGAGTTCGTAGCCAGCCAGCAACTTTTTATGTTTTTGCCTATCCCAAAGTTTCCTCTGCACAGGTATTGCCATGACTTGGGAAGAGTTACTCAGCTTGCCATCCTCCTCTTGCTGGATGTGAGTCCACTGTGGCCCACCGTTTTCACACAGCTGACCTTTCAGATGGAGGCTCAAATCTAAACCCTTCCTGCCCTCTGCTTTCACCTCTTCACAAATGTCAAGCAAATCCTTGCATTCAAGTCTTTCGGCTATTTCTTTCATCCGTTGCAGTTTCTCTGCTTCAATCTCCACTTCCGCAGTGTAAACAAACTCCAGAAAGGAGGTGAACTCTTCTGTGTAAATGTCCTGCAGAGTCACCGTGCAATTCTTGGTGTCCAGCATCTCATCATGCAGGAAAAGCCCCTTGAAATAATTGCTGGAAGCTGCTAAGACAGCCTTGTGAACCAGAAACTCCTCCTGAATCCCGAGATGTTGTGTGTGAACTGTCACATCACAGAGGTGACCGAACTGGTACAGAGAATGCAGTGCCCTCAGGAGGTTAGGAGCAGCAACCTTGGATTTCATTAGAATTTTCTTTTTCTCCATCCTGCCAGAAAAACAGATAAAAGGTTGAATGCTTGCTTTCCCTCTTCCACTAGCTCTCTTTTCATTCATATACGACATCAATCACTTCAGAAAAAACTCAGTGGAGACCCATGTCCTAATTCCTACTTTACAAGATGTGGTAAAGACCTTGAAGTTATGTCTATCAACACAACTGTCATCAGCAAACACACTGGGTTTATTACAGTCACAGATTTAGATTTACACTCTAGGATAACCCTTCAGAGCAAATATTCTGTAGCACAGATGGTAACAGTAATGAAACACAAGTAACATAATTGGCCCATCTTAATAATAAAACATTCTTCATACAAGCACTTTTCAACAGCAGAGGTCACAAGAATTTACAGTGGAAACAAGCATCTTTCTCCACCCGTCTGGTACCAACAGGGGAACTGAAGCACAGCAAGTCACTTCACTTCCGATTATTTCCAGGCTGGTGTTGAAGCAGAGCCTGTGTTTTCACAATCCCGCACCAGGCTCCACTCACTGCACCAGGCAGCCCCTTGTGCCAAAGCAGAGGGATAAATTTTTGGATTTGGTTCAGTTTTGTTTCTGTTTTTTCCCCCCCATATAAACAATCAGACCTAAGGGTTAACAATGATAGTTAGTAAGCTTCTATTGCATTTGGCCACTTAAATAACATACAGGGACAAACTATATGTCTAGAAATAGCTACAATTTTTTTGAGGAGGTAGTAGTGTTTTACTTGAAAAATATTTCAAAACTGCTCCTTCTCCATCAACAGAGGGGTCAGAAGTTTTTTGACATTTTGACATTTTCAGAAAGAACAATTTGCATTTCCCCATCAGCTCCAGAGACGAACACTAGCTATTACTACAGTAAATCCGATGCCTGAGAACTCTGCGGCTTTCCTGTCTCAACCTGCATATGACACCTATACCGCTGGAACAAGAAGTCTCATTTACCTCTGCCCATAAAGCACAACAATGATGCTGTCAACCTTACTGAGGCCTTTAAGATGCTCTGATCTGATCCTCTAAGCTGATATTCCTGATCTACCGTAGTTTTTAAATATCTGTTATTTAGCACATGCTTACAACAGCTTTGTAACCAAGGGAAGAACACTAGGCCAAAATAAACAGACGAATCGGTTTGTTATTGCTTAAAGGCTCCGTTTAAGCTTGGCTTGCTGTGCTTCCATCTCACAGTAATAATGGCTGGCAGAAAATGACACCAAACTGTACTTTCACTTCTCATCTAAATTATGTTTGACATTATATTAAATACATTGCTGGCAGATATTAGCTGTCTGATTAAGAAGACAAATGTGTCTTCAACATAAAGTACCAGGAAGTCAAATACAATACATAGCCTAGAGTGAATAGGTTTGAATAGCAAGCTTAAGAGACAGCTCTGTGAATATTCTTCCTATCACAAGCTACCATAGCAAGCACTGCAGAGAATAATCATCTTCTAATCTGCAAGGCATAGTCATTCAATACTTGTGACACCCCAAATAACATTTTAAAAACTGGATTTAAAGGTTTAAACTGATTTTCCAATGACCCCATTAAGCACCACCGGAATGTGTGCAGCTACATTCATAGGAAACAGAGAAGATTTATACTAGATATAAAATGTCTGTAAATTTGAGTTATGCAGAACCTCAAATATTTGTACTTAACTGGGAGTTTGATCCCGAGTACTTGATGAGCTCCTGCAAGAAGTCCCACCCCGATCAACAGGACTGCTTAGGATCTCAGCCTGCTCACCTAGATGGTGCAGAACCTGCTCAGTCCTGCGCTCCTCACTGCTAGCAGGTTCAAAGATGTTTACTCAGAAAAAACAAAAGTATTACTACAGGAAAAATACTTAGGAAAAGTAACTAGAAGAAAAAGACAAACAAAGCATGTGTTGAAACATCCCACAGAAGCTAGAGATTGGGGGGCGGGGGGGGGGGGGAATGTGCAAAATAGCATTATCTAAATTCTATTAGAACAGGACCGCTCACATCCAGACTCCTACAAACATTCAATAATTATCAGTCTCTGCCTTACGAATTCTGCCCAGCAGGCATCTTTAAAATGCTCCCAACACAATACCTGCAACCTATTCCCTACCAACGATCACCAGCTACCTGGAGACATAATCCTAACGGCACACTCACAGGCTGCAGAAAGAAGCACAGATCCAGAGGTTAATACCTATATTCAGTCCACAAATTCACAAAAGCTTCCACCTAATCTATCCCCTGGCTTGCCCTTCTTAATGTTTTCCAACAGGATATCCTTCTTCATTTCTGTGCAGAACTGACCCCAGCGCTGTGAAGCTCACCGATCAGTAGCGCTTAAAGAAATCAATAAGCAGAGCATGTGCTAATTTCCTCCTCCTCCTTTTTAAGATACTCATCTGCGATAAATTCTTGATACGCGCTTCCACATGAGCTCTACTAACACTACTATCTGATACTAAGCCAAATAGAGAGGTACATTCCAACATCATCTCTTCAGTTCAGCTGGTTCTAGATTAAATCAGCCCAGAAGTGGTTTAACGAAATGTCTTTCCAACGAAAAATGCCACAAATTAATCAATTCTCACATTTTTTTTTTTTTCCAGAAAAAGTGAGACTGTACTTTTTGTTAACTGTTTGGAGAGGAAGTTGATCTTTAGTTTTCTGAAGTGGTGTCGAACGTAGTTTGTTTTCATGCTTTACAGTTTCATGAGGTTGGGAGTAGAACACGATGTTTCAGGGGTATAAAGCAGTGTGTAAGACTCTTTTTAAAAAAAAAAAGTTAAGGTCATAGAAGATTTCCAAGTATTTTGCTTTCATTTTGGGGGTAAGGAAACAGCTTCTCATCCCCAGTGGATTAGGAAAGCTATTTTCTCCTTACTCTTTGCACTTCATTAACACTTAAAGACAAGAGAAGATTCTGGAGGTATTCCCAGCCATAGCAAGGGGAATGAGGATGACAAATGTTGCAGTACATCATCCAGTTACTGAATCAAAGAGAAGGCCATATTTTGTTCTAATTGCCAGTTAATGGTGGCTTTAAATAACTACCAGTAATCGAATAGGAAAAATAACAGTAACATAATTAATAGGTTTAATTCTATCCCTTCATTTATGGAGACAAGGCACCCTGGTCTTAATCCTAACTTTCGCTCTCAACTGCATCCGAAAGCCAAGCATTCCCAGAGCTGCACCCCACCTCTTCTGCCTGCCAGCACTCTAGCCAGCCCGAATCTCAAAGTGATTGGCACTTCTCTCTCCTGCTCTACTTCAAACACGCCACCCTAGCCCAGCAGAACAAGCTGCCAAGCGGCGATGCAGGACGGTCACAAACGTGGAAAAAGTGGAACGCGGCAGGAGGAGCGCGTTCTGCCACTCCACAAGGCCTCTGCTATTTTCTCACACCCTCAGAAACCTTCTCTGAGCTGCTCCTGGGAGGTGGCAGGGTTCACGGCCCACTGGGAGAAAGATACCACCAATCACTGCAGCTCATTGGGAACCTGTTACCACTTACAAAACCAGGAACCAAAAGGGTGCTGGTTAGAGGTTAACAGTGCTAATAAACATCATTCTGCTGTACCCTAAAGCTTCTTCAGAAAGCAGCTAGTCACTAGTCTCCGAGACACTGACTTCAACAGGGAGATTCAAATGAAAACAACGTTTTTCCCACATACTGTATTTTATGGATTTGTTTGTAACTGCTTTCAGCTTTTTGCCTGGTAATAAGGGAATGAATACTTCAAAGAATTTGCATGTATGCAAGATTTACAGAAAACAATTAATCTAACAGAACCTCTGCAAAAGCCAGAATGTACAGCTCCTGATAAGGCTACTGGAATAAGTACAACTTTTAAAAAATAAAGCCTAACAGGGGCTTCCAACCTCCAAGAAGAGATTTATATTTGCTCTGTGCTTTTTTTATTAATGATGCAATGACAGTCAATAGCAGCTCTCTAGTCCAGATAAGTAACACAGTAAATGAAGTTGTTTGTAGGAAAGAAAGTAAATATTTCTTAAACATCGTTGTTTCTTGGCCTTTCACTGTTTGCATCTACTTTGCAATTTCTATAGGCCAGAGCCTTAACTGGTGTGATACAGCATAGCCCTTTTGAAGTGAAGACAGTGAAGGTATGCTGATTTATACACCCAAGCATCTAGGGGAAAACCAAACAGTAAGTCAAAGAAATTGCATTGCATACTTCTCAAAAATTCTGTTACTTCACATAAATATGCCCTGCTTTTTGCAAACTATACATAATCTTTGGTTGCTGGATTTCCCCCAAGCCTTTTCAATTAGATCTTAAGTTTCTCTTCAGAGAAGTGAGGAAAAAATTCATCCTTAACTTATTTTCCCAGGAAGGGTTCCTTTAAACTCACAACAGCTGCACGTACATGACAACAAAGGGCCCCGACAGCGATCCAAATGAGAACCCTTGAAATATCGATGGTGTTAGGGGAAAACAAAAAAAAGAGTCCTAGTACACTCTTACTCAATTATCCTCTGCAGAAACTACCCAAGTATCTCTTTAAAGTGCTGGCACGGCGTAAGAGCGTGTAATTGCTTTTCTTGATGCATGGGCTACCTCTTGGCAAAATAAGAGCAAACGGGTAGACCATAATAGCAGTGCAATGCTCCAGACCCTGACAGATAAAATGAACTGCTCAAGAGATCAGATTAAACAACCAGAGCTACAGGACAGCAGGCAGAGTATTTAAAAGCCCAGAAACCGCCCTAAGTAAAGGGCAATAAGACTCATTGCCAGAGATGCACAAGGGCCAGCTTCAGTCCTCAAACATGCCATGCCTGTAATATTTTTTTCTGATTTTTGCTTTGTTATTTTCCTGTAAAATCAGGTAACATTTACCTGTCTTAAAGATAGATTGTGATGATAAAAATATATTAATAGCAATGAGACAATAAGCTAACATAGGTGAAAGAGAGCATTACAAGGACATAAGTAACAGCTGGACTTACTCAACTGTGTTAATCATCTGGAAAATTAAGCTT